TTAAAAGTTTCCAAAAAATTAAGTTTCTCACGGTGAATGTTTATACAAAATATTATTTGATGCATTTAACTGGCCCTTAGATTAAAACTACTTCCCGAGACGTTATTCTCATGTCCTTTGAATTTCTTTCTCCGCAGGAAAGCCTTATTGCTGGACTTCCGGCTTTACCATATATATAAAACGACTGTTAAGATTGAGTGAACCGTGTGTTGTGTGTGTGTGTATGCATAAATATAAATCCCATTCTACATGTGTGTACGTTTTCCTTCCAATAAAAATTTTGTATTTATGTGAATGTTTTGCATCCAAGTGAAAATATAAAAATATAGAAAAGGAAGGAAAAAAGAAAACCTATTACAAACAAAAAGGGGAAGTGGGCAATGTCACTTCCGGATGCACCGGTGTGTCTAAGACACCTGCAAAGAAACGTAACACACACACACACTCAGTACAGACACTTTAACTCGTGTAATCTTATTAAAGGAATCGCAATCCCCGACTTCCGATTTCTAAATCATGACATCCGCTTCTCAACTATACTGAACATCTGCTTTTCGTCACTGATTTTCATTATGTAGAGTCCCATTAAATCGCCCACTAATTCCGGTATTTAATTTGTATCTAAAACTGACAGTAAAAAGAAGCAATTTATTGAATATTTCCACCACAATTTCTTCAAATAACTATCAATAATTTTAAATGACAGGAAAGAAAGAGAGAGACATTTTTGAGTCATAAAACAGGGATGCCACAAAAATTTAATTTTGTATTTCCCTGACTCTTCCCTGATTTTCAGACAAAATTTTGTTTTTTTTCCTGACCCTAAAAAATATTCTAATTCACTCTAGAAATTATTAGATACTCAAAAAAATGTTCTATTATATTTATTTAAGAATTTCTTTTATTGTAAAATTATTCGAAAACATCAATAATTTCTTTCTTAAATAAATAATTAATCATTATTATTTTTCCATACACGGAGAGAGAATATAAATATTAAATTTTGTGAAAGTACTTTACAAATTGGGGAAAAAGTGCGACAAAGCGAAATTTGGATATAAAATATTCTAAACTTTAAAGAAACTTATGTGAAATTTAGTATAATAATATCAAATATCAAGAATATTACTCAAATTCTAATATAATTTTTGGTATTAAATTTCACAAAAGTTCTTTTTAAGTTTAGTATATTTTATATAAAAATTTTGCTTTGTCGCACTTTTTCCCCAATTTGTAAAATACTTTTACAAAATTTAATATATATTCTCTCTCCGTGTAGGAATTAAGATTTTCAAAATTTTCTTAATTCTTATTCTTTAAATCAATTATTTTTAATAATTTTTTAAAAAGTTTTTTGAGAATTTTCAAATCCATTTGTTAAAAATAATTTAAATTCTGCAATTAATTATATTGTATATCAAAATAATAAATAAATTCCTAAACAGAATTTTATTATTTATGAAAATAATTGAATTATTGAGAAGAAATTGATAAAAAATTTGTAAATAATTGAATTCCTGTGAAATTTTTATTATTTATGGAAATAATTAAATGTTTGGGTAGAATTTTAATAAAATTAATTTTAATTACTAATTCTTTTAAAAAATATTATTAAAATAGTAAATATTAAAATTCATTGAAGAGGACAATTTTTGAAAATAATTGAATTTCGGAGAAGAAATTCATTATTTAGGTATACAAAATTAATTGAAATTATTGAGAATTTTTAAAAAACTTTCTGACAATTGAATTTTAGCAACTATTATAAACTATTATAAAACTATTATAAAAACTATTATAACTATTTATAAAAAAAATTGAATTTTGGAGAAGTTACAACTTCTCCAAAATTCAATTTTTTTTTAGTGTTTTTAACTAAAAGTTTTCTATAAGTACATTATTTTTTAATAATTAATAAAATTAAATTCAAATTTTATAAAATTACAAATTAAAACCTATTGAAATTCATCGTATTTACAAAAATTGTAAACTTAATTTTTTATAATACAATTAACTTTGAAATATTTAAGTAAAATTATTCATTAAATAATTAATAAGTAATAATTTTATAATAGTTCTTCAAGAATTAAGTTATGTAAAGAGAAATTATTGTCAAAAATAGAAAAAATTGAAGATTTTATATTAGAATTCATGGTAATTTTATAGTTTATGAGGCAAACAAAAAAAAACACGAAAATTCAGAATTTTCTAATGATTTCTAAAAATAAAATTTTTGCAGTACTTTTAATATAAATTCCTAACCAATTCTACTTTCCCTGACATTTCCCTGATTTTTCTGACTTGTGGCAACCCTGTAAAAAGTCAGAGTAAAAATGGAAGTTTTCGAATTTTTTCCATTTTATAAATTCTACTATCAATTTTAATTTTTATAAATTATTTTCTGTATAAATATTTATCATTTATATATAAATTATTCAATTTTCATAAATTTAATTTAATTTAAATAAATGTTAGTCCTTTAAAATTTTTAATTTTAAAGGAATCATACATATCTCTAATTACGCTTAATTAATGAACATTACGATAATGGAATTTATAATAAATTATAAAATTAGAGAACTTTGTGTATGTTTGGAAGGGTGTTAAAAAGGGGAGGGGGTGTAGAATGGGGTATATCAAAAGGGGGTTGTTCCAGTGACCCAGTTTATCCCCGGGAGTTGAATGAACCTCATTTTACGTTTTGACGTCATTCTCGACCTCATTTCCGGTTCCCGGAGCTTGCAGCTTCAGCCCTGAAGCTCTGTCCTGTTGACCTGAAATATCTCATGAATCGAAGGACTCGCTTCGTTCATTCGAGCCTGCCGCGCCTGCTGGGGAGTAAGTATGAATGAATTTGTGAAAATACAAGGATTTCAAGCTTTACAAGCACCGGGAACATGAAACTAATCGAGAGAACTGAATGAATCATTTCACTCCATTAAATAATATCAATTAATAATCAATTAACCCAAAAATGTTCCAATAAATAATATTGTAATGAAAATTTACCATAAAATAAAAAATTTGCAGAAAAATAATCTCAAATTTATAATTTATAACTCATATTAATTAGAAATAATATTAATACTAATTCTATTAATATTATTTAATATTAATAAATTAATAAATTTTTAATTAATATTAGTTTCATTAATATAAATTCCATTATTTTATCTTATAATAAAAGTGAATCACCTTTGGATAAATGTAATAATAATAATAAAAAATATATTAGCGATTCTCTAATATAAAAATCGTACAATAATGATAAACTTTATAAACAGTTAATCATCATTCTGTCAATTAAGGCAAAATATAGATGATTTCATATTAATTAGAATAAAGAAAAAGAAAATTATTTTTGATTCATTGATGAGTCAAGAATAATTTTTAATTAAGTGAAACATTAATTTAGTGAATCAATAAATAATTCTTAACTCAAATTAAAATATTATTTACCATTACTTATTTATCTCACAATAATTAAAAACAGACATTTGAACTAGATATAAATTTTAAAAATATAATAATATAAAATCGAAAGTATATTATTTGCTTTTAGTCTAATTTTAATTCCAGAGAAAAAACAAGTAAAATTTAAAAAAAATGTACTCTTTATAATTTTAAGTGATTCTGCATCCACTGCACTTTTGCATTACGTCGAAAATATATATTTATATCTCGCGAATTTTTAATGAAAAACACAAATTGTGCTGCTTTATTCTAGTGCAAATTTACAATTATTATTCTGCGTTAAGAATTAAATAACTTTTTTCCACTCTATAAATAATTATTACGAAATAATAACATGAAAATAATTGCTACTTGATGCGCCCATCGCCAAAGCATTATTAGATAATTCAACTTATGGCGTCAACTGCAAAAATAGAAATTCGAGAATTCTTATTCTAAACGCAGAACATTTAGTAATAAAAAATGTTATATAAATAAATTGTACCTTAAAATGATGTGTTGCGTCATGTTTTCTCATTATTACCAGTAAAAGAATACACAATTATATAAAACTAATAAACGCTCATAACTTTAATAAACTTGTTATAGTTTTGCTTCCACGTTCCAATATATATAGCTCATCAAACACAACAGAAACTAAATAAGAAATGAAATAAATCCAATATGAAAAATGTTGAATATTACGATTGTTAATAACAACAAATATAATTGTTTACAACACTTTCTTGTTTTTGTTTTTATCACAAATAGTAACAAAACTTTACTATTTTCACTTGTTTAGAACCTAACCTTCACACATGTGACACAAGCGCGAAAAACTACATTCCAAAATGGCGTCGCAATTAGTAAACTCCCGTTCACAACTACGCATTGTGTCTCATATAACTGAATTTGATTGGTTGACTGTTTTTTCTAAGCACTACAGCCAACCAATCAATTTAAACTATAAGTTTTTCCTTAGATTGGCGCCAAAATTCAAAATTGTAAAAAGACAAATTGTAATACAAATAATTATAAAAAAAATTAAATATTGAAGAATATATTAATTTCGTTCATTACAATAATTTTTTTTAATTTATATATTAATTTATTTATATTAATAACGAATAAGATTATTTTCTTTTTTTAAATTAATTCAATTCATTTTAATTTTTTTAAGAAATATTACAATATTAATAAGATTAATAATAATGTTAATAATAATACTATTATTAAATAGTAAAGTTTTGTTTTACTTTTTCTAATAAAGAAACGAGAAAGTGTTGTGAACAATAATTATTAATAATAATATCAAAATATTAATTTATTAACATTATTCATTCATAAGAATAAAATATTATTTTGATTTTTTATAATGATTTAAATTAATTTTTTATTTATTTCTTTTTAATTATAATCCATTTTAATTAATTCAAATAAAAATAAAATTTCTATCTCAATAATAATAAATATTTGTAATTCAAATAATTAAAAAAATGTTTTAATTAATATAATACTAAAAAATTAGGTATAAGAATATTTCAAAATTTCAAAATTACGGTTTTTATTACTTTCGTCATATTTACAAAGTACGGAAAAGAAAAATAAAATAAATGTAAATATGTACATAGAATAATATAATTAAAAAAAAATGTATCACTTTAAAAATTTATTAAAATTCATGATAGAAAAAAATCGTCAATTTAATATCAAATTAATGGTGAGTAAATATAATAAATCATAAATCAATTGCATTAGAGAGAAATCGTGTCTTAAAAAAATTGTGTTTCTCTTTCTTCTTTTCTTTCTTTGGCGTTCTAGTAAAATAATTAGAAATTTTCTTATTCGTTGGACACGCGTCGTCTTCCTCCTCCTCCCATTCCACCGTCAATGCCTTCGATTCAAGAATTGTTTCAGCCGTCGACCAACTAAATCTGACCAACATTGGAAATCCAAAAGTTTGATCAATATTTTCCGTTAACCATTTTTTTGTCGCTGGATCATTTGGATATCCACTACCATAATCAGATGAAAATTCTGCCTCTCGAAATTGCCAGGCACGTAGGGCATGATCACGGGAAACTTTTGCACAAATACTGGCAGCACTGACAATTGGAAATGTCGAATCAGCCTTTTTCTCAACAACTATTTTCAAGTCGGGAAAAATTTGTTGCAATCTCGCTTGATATTTTTCTGGTTTTCCAACGGTGTCAACGTACACTTCGGCAAGATTAACGCCAGCTTGTATTGCCAATTTAATTAAATTTGCTGCCGAACACATTGAGACTTCATTTAATGATGTTTTTGTTCGTCGATACATGTTATTTGATATGTAATTTGGTGAAATTGCATCGACAGCCCAACCCATTTCTTCGCTTTTCAAGCAAATTTTATCGAAAATTGCATCTCTCTTTTCTTCGGTTAACGATTTTGAATCGGCACATCCGAGATCGATGAGAAGTTGCTTTTTTGATAATGGTGCATAAGCGACACCATAAACCATTGGTCCCAAAACTGGTCCACGTCCGGCTTCGTCAACTCCCAATAAACAGGGTTCATCTTTACAAATCTGAGGCACCTGGAAATTAATATTATTTAATTTATTTCTAATCAACATCACAAGTTCAATAAAAAAATATCTATTTATTTCAAATATTTCATTATCATTACTTTATAAAAAAAAATATTCACTCGGACCCTATAATTTTTACTTATTTTTATTTCAATTAAATAAACAGTATAAGCGTACAATATTTATAAGTATATAATAAATATTATTTCTTTTCAATTTGTACTTACTTCTGACTGATAAAGCAAATTGACACTGTGATCGCCCTTCTCGAAATATTGTGTCAAATCTCCTTTTTCTTTAATACAATCAACACCTGTGGAAAGTTTTCTCTTCTTTGTTGGCGAAATACCATTTTCCTTATTTTCTTTATCCATTTTTCACCAATTATTTAACAGTAATAACACCAACAATGTCACTTGTTAGAAATGTCACTTATCAATTCTAACCTTTAATTGTCAACACGTTGATACACAAAACCGCCAAAAATTTATAGCAATACTGCCAACTGACGCAAAAACATTGCAGCCAACACTCGATTTTAATTTACAATATTAAAAATTATTATCTCTCAAAAACTGGTTAGTAAATAACTAAAAAAATGAATTAAATAGCAAATAGAAATAAATATATTCAATAATCTATTGTAAAAAAATTACTTCAAATAATAATTATCGTTAAAAAATATACTTCAACTCGGATGTAATTTTAAATTACGCGCCTTACAATCATGGCAGCGTAAAACTGCGCCAAAATGTTGCGCGTCGTAAAAAGTAAACAACATGTCGAAGGAAATGTCAATTTCCATCAATTTATTCCTAAATTATTTAAAACTTTTGCCGTAACTTAAATATTATCGTTTAAAAATGATTTATTTTGAAATATAAACATAATGTGATTGAAAAGTTATAAAAATATTTAAGTCTTGTATCAAAATTAGTGAAAAATGTCTTCAGACAAGGTAGGTTATAATTGATACTGAACTGTCAAAATATTTTCAACTTTTGTTAATTTACTATATATGTAATTGTAAATATTAATGTTTGTTATTATTAAAAAATTAATACTTAATTTACTAAAAGTGTTAGCTCAATTATTCACAAAATATTTTAATTCTTTTTTTTTAATATTTCAATTAGTGTTAATTTTGGGTTTTTCTAATTATGTATTGATTATTTTAGTATATTGATTAACAATTAATATTTTACTTAAATATTAATGCCATATATTTTAAGATTCAAATTTGTGAACAAGAAACATACAACTATTATTTTAGAAAATTATCTCTTAAAATTTTAATTCGGTTAAATATTTATTTCATAATAATTAAATATATTATTTCATCAATTAACAATGGGGGCGATTAAACGTTAGCTATTAATTATTTCTCGAATTATTAATTCGTTTAAGTATTAATTTTATAATAATTAAATATTATTTTATCAATTAAGGATGTAGGGCAATAAATTATTAATTGATAATTGATTAGATGAATTATTTAAATTTTAATTAGTTAAAGACATCTTTCCCCTTTAAATAGTTAAATGTTTGTATAAAATAAATAAAAAGAGAATATCTGACTACGTAGTGTTAAATTTAAATAAATTCTAGGTTTTGCATCGTTTGGACCAACCTCATGGATCAGGAAGTGTTTTTATTGCCTGGCGACCTGGCAGCAGTACACATTTGGCAACAACTGGATGTGATTCAACAGTTGCGATATTCGACAGACAAGGGGAGATACAAGATCGTTTTAAATTAAGTGGCTTGTGCACTGGATTTGGTTGGGACGCTGATGGCGATGTACTTGCTGTTATTTCAAATAATTCATCATCAATAATCATATGGGACGCAACAACAGGCAAAAAGTCTACCATAGATGCTGGAGTTCGAGACATTCTCACTTGTATGGTCTGGTCAAAAAGAAATTCCATTCTCGCCGTTGGAACTCAAAAAGGAAATCTCGCTATTTACGATCACACAAATTCAAAGTATATATTCTAAATTTAAAATAGTGAATGAAAAACAGGAATTTTATTCCTTTTCTTAATTTGTATGTTTTTTTACTTTCTGCTAGACGAATTCCAATTTTGGGAAAGCATAGAAGACGTATTTTGGGAGGTGCTTGGTCCTTTGAAGGACTTCTTGCCCTGGTGGGAGAAGATAGAATTTTATCAGTAAGCACAACCGAGGGTGACACTCGAAAGGAAATTCAATTACAAGGCGATCCTTCAAATGTTCAATTCAGTGAAATGAAAATGGATCATCGTGTGGGCGGGGAAAATACAGTGAGTATTTTGCAAAGAAACACTTTCAAAAATTACTTTCTCGATCTCTTTCATAACTTAATTACAAAATTATAAGTTTGTAACTTATAAAAAAAATAATTTAATTCTAATATAATAATTTTAGGTTTCTCTGGTAATCAATAAAATGACCCTCTTCTTGTTCAACATTCTCGATATGGACAATCCACTGGAATTATCCTTTCAAAAGCGTTACGGCCGAATTGTTTCCTACGTTTGGTAATTGTTTAAATTTAAGCGCCTAAAATTGAAGTCTTAAAATTTAAATTCTATAAATATGGAATATAATACGAAATTAAAGTGCAAATTTTTAATTTAAATAAAAATAGAATTTTAATATTTTTGATTTGAAATAAATGACAAAATTATATTTATATAGGTACGGAGATGGTTATATTTTAGCTGGATTCGAAGGAGGATATTTTGTCGGAATATCAACTCATATAAAGGAGGCTGGTCAGGAATTGTTTCAAGTGAAAAATCACAGAGATTGTTTAAATGATATGGCCCTCAGTAATATAACGGGAAAAATTGCAACTTGCGGCGATAATTCGATAAAAATTCATAGTCTACAGAGTTTAGAGGAAACGGAAAAAGTGATCACAGTCACTGGTGAAACGGGTGTTAATACAGTAGAATGGTCAGCCGATGGAACAATGATAGCGACTGTCACTCACAGTGGCAATGTCTTTATTTATTTGACGGAAATACCAAAATTAAGAAGTGTCTGTGGCAATAAAATTGCCATGTTAACGAGTTTAACAGAAGTGACTGTGCATTCTTACACATTAGATAAGGTAACGATTTGATAATTAATAATAATTTTACGAAAAGTCAAGTCCTGTTCATATTGAAAATAAATAATAATTATTTTTCTTTTTCAGACTAAACCACAACCGAAATTAATTAATACAATAATAGAACCCTCAGTGATAGCAGTTGGACCACTTCATTTAGCAGTGGCTTTAAATAATAGAGCTCTTTTTTGGGATCTATCTTCAACACAATATAGTTCTTCTATTCATTTTGAGAGAGATTATTTGTCAACTGTTGATAGTGTTTGTTTAAATGAAACCTACGCTTCTGTTCTTTTTGACGGAAAATTACAATTACACGCTGTAAGTGTATAATGCAAAACCAAAACAAATCGAAGATAAAACCTTTAATATTATTTTACTTAATAGAATTAATTAATTATTTGCAAATATTATTTGAGTTAATATTATAATAATTGGTATAAAACAGCTATAATTTAAAGATTATTTTACGAATTTAAGTAAATTATTTTCAGGTGAAAATAGATCAAGTTTTGATAGACGCTAGAAAAGATACAAAAATGTTACCGGATCAAATTGTTAACAGCGTTAAAGTTACTTGTCATGCACTGTCTTCAGATTTTCTGATTTATGGAGACGATGTGAGTACATTTAATTAAACATTAATTCATGTCTCAATTTAAAATGTTTTGTGAAAAACACAAAAAAAGTATTAGTAATAACTCGAAAGATTACACGAAGAGGAATATTTTTAATTAATTTTAACTCTTTTTTTTTTTTTTTTGTAAAAAAATATATAAACAAAATTCTAGATTTTAATTAAATCGTATTAATATATTTGTTGGCGTTAAAATTAGTACTTTTTGGCGCAGTTTTGATTAAATTATGTTCATGATTAAAAAATTATTCAGCGAATATTTGTTTTTTGCAGATGGGACGAATTGTTTATTTTAGTTTAGAGGCGTTTCATCAATCATTGGAAACATCTCACGTTAATGGAATTAAGCAAATTTTTATGGACGCAAATGGAACACAAATTTGTTTCATAGATGACAAATTTGATGTTTATGTTTACGACCCAGTGAATGAAATAATTACTCCAGTGCCCGATTGCCTTGATTCAGTGGAGGGAATAATATGGGATCAAAATTTATTTGAGCGTAATATATTTGCTGTCTATAATAAAAATACTATCGTAACTTACGTTTACGTAAAGTATCACATTGAAGGTACGTTTGCTAATTTTTTTTATATTTAATTGCAAATTAAGTAGTTTTCAAATTTAACGTTCAACTATTGCGCTTGTCTATTACATTCAGAAAAAATAACTTGAATTATTTAAAAAATGAAGTATTATTATATTACACTTTAAAATCAATTTATAACTAATAATTAATTAATTTACAATTTATATCTTCTCAGGTGCTAAAGTCGTAAAAGCGGGAAAAACAAAATTGCCGTCAGAAACTATACCAATGTTAATGTATTCTGGAGAAGTAACTTTAAATACAATAGTTGGAAAATTAATCCAAATCACATTGTCTACTCACGAAATAATTGGAAACATTGTGGATAATAAGAGAGTTACAGAATTGTTTGAGAACCAATTACTTTGCAGGAGGTATTTGATTATTGTTTATCATAAAAATTTAATTTTGTATAAATTATATCTATGAATTAGTTATTAATTGTCTATAATTTTGATAATTAGATTTCAAGAATCATGGGAAGCCTGTGAAATATTAAACGACAAAGAGTGTTGGTTAAAATTAGGACAATCGGCTCTAGCAAATCTTAATATAGATTTTGGTAATTTTTCTCTCCAATTTCAAATAAATATTTAATTTTCATTTAATATATTATTCTTATACATTATCAATTAATTGAACAACAAATCAATTTTAGTTGAAATCAGTCTAAAATTAAATAAAATTCAAAATTGAATTTTAATTGAAACTAAATGGAAATTGAATAAAAATAAAAATTGAATTTTAGTTGAGATTAAATGAAAATTGAATAAAACAACAAAATTCAATTCTATTTGATAATTAACAGAAAGTTAAATTTTACTAATATCTAATCATAATTAAATTCAAATAGCTTTACAAGTTTATCGGCACATTGAAGATGTTTCAATGGTATGGGCACTGGAGAAATTAGAAAACATTGACGAATTGTCGTTATTATCGGGACATATTTGCACGCTGCTAAACGATTATGATAAAGCGGAAAAATTCTTCTTGCGTTCTTCGCAACCAGTTGAGGCATTATATTTGCGACGCGATTTGATGATGTGGGTTCAGGCCTTAAATTTAGCTCAATCTTTAAAACCCGAGGAGATACCATTTATTTCAAGAGAATATGCGCAACAACTCGAATTCACGTAAGCTACAAATTT